GATACGATCTTATTAATTCTATTAGATCTTATTAATTCGTCACTATCTTTAATATGATCACCCATATTTTTTTGTTCTACGTAATTTTCACAAAAATTTTCCATATTGTTCTGTAACGTGCTTATGATCGGCCATGTTCACGACAATCTAAATTATATTTTAGTTTTAATATTTCGTCATTTTTATTCCTAATTCCTTTATTGTACATTAATGCAGTCTATATCCTTGATTTAAAATAAAATAATTCTTAATTCTTATTCCTAATATTTAATATTTATTCTTATTCCTCCATTGTGCACAGGCCCTTAGTTTTTCTTCAACCGCTCGCTGTTACGTCGCAACTTCGATATTCGAGAATCTTTTTTTTAATAATTGATACCATTGATAACTGATATTAACTAAAATAATTTTAAACATTTTTTTTCTTTACTCTCAATAAATAAGGCCTAAACAAACATTCTGACAAACTTCATTTCGTAACCGATTATGAGCTTTAAAGATCGTCAGGAGTGACGAGCTAAGGCTGATGTCCCATGGCGCGGAAATCCACAGCGGAACGGAACGCGCAAACCAATTACAGCGAAAGAACCAAAAGAAAACTCGTTCATTCTGTTCGTTCTTTCAGCCTAACTCCGACTTGATCTAAAATGATTATTTATCCTTATTTACAGTGCAGATATGTATCTGTAAATTATACTATAAATTATACTCAATTATATTTTGTTTTATAGAAACAATGTTTCGTCATGAAACTTTGTTAAGATAATTTCTTTTACAATTACGAAGCTATCTACAGAGCCAATTTTGCAATTTAACTCTTAAATAATTAAAATAAATGTAACTATCTACTCCTTATTTACAGTGCAGATATATTATACATTGAGTACACTCATATATTATCTCGTAGAAGCAATATTCTGCCATGAGTCTTGTTTTACGTATTTTTTATAAAATTATGACTCTGCTACAAAGCCGGATTTTGCAATTTGGCTCTTAAAAAAAAATTTACAATAGATGAAAATATTTGCACCTTATTGTCCTATAGTGCAAATCTATTTATGCATAAATGAATTATTTATTTTCACACATTTTCTTACAAAAATCGTTCTGTAGCTTTCGTCAGGCAAATATTCTGATTAAATATCATAATTATATAGCTTTTTTCGCAATATTTTGGCCATAATATGAGTGAAAAGGAATTTATCTCCGATAGAGATCTCCATAATCTCTCCTTCGCCGACCCTTAATTACTAATTCTAAACAAATCATCGCAATTCTTATTGATACATTTCCAAATTTTCATGTTTTTCCTTCTTAGGATACTACCCCAATCACCGACGTTTTGACACAAAACGCTAATTGGTGAAAAATAGTTCTTACTATTTAATTCACCGATTAATGCTCTGTGGGTTTACGACAAATGATCAGATCGGGCAAAGCAGTGACACTTAACCAATAGACTCTCTAAATTTTCCTAGATTAATCCGGATCAGTGATCTCTGTCTCAGTATTGATCGGATCAATCATTGTGGATTAACGAAGCATATTTGTTGAAAAATAATCCTCTCTTTATTTTTTTATATAAAATATTAAATAATTTTATGAAATATAAAATAAAGTTCATAATAAATTTGAATTTACATATTGTAATATTTTTTGTACTAAACATTTCTTTCTGTGAAAATAATCCATTTCAAAGCTTGAAGTTATATTGAAAAAGTGCAAAGTCGCGCAAAGTTAATAAGATATTTTTTTATTAAAATATTGACATGGATTATTTTCACAGAAAGAAATGTTTATAAATAATATTCAATATATAAATTCAAATTCAGAGAGAGATCACTGACCCAGTCTAGGGAAATTTAGAGAGTCTATTGGTTGAGTGCCACTGCTTTGTCCGATCAGAGATTAGGGGGTCAATCATGTAACTTTACGTGAAATTGTTCACTTTTCATATTTCACTTTTTACTTTTCATTTTTCACACTTTGAGATTTCACGTGAAACTTTTCACGTACAGCGATTATGTATGTAGCTTGGATGCGTGGAAAGTGAAATCATGAAACATAGTTTTCATAGGTTTTATAGCTAATAAAAATTATTTTATTGATACAGTATTATATACATCTTTTAATAACCAATTGTATATGTATTACGTACACTTAATCCTAACGCAACCATAATCTTCTCTAATTCCGAAACATATTTATTAATTCCCTAGATTTCCGCCTTTCCGCCACTAAGGTACATAGCGAAAAAGTTCACTTGAAAAATTTCACATTTTCACGTTTGAGAGAGTTACATGATCCCACAAAATCGTACATGATCGTAAGTTCACGTGAAACTTTTCACTTTTCACATTTCCGTCCTAGAGGAAAAGCTACATGATTGATCCCCTGGATCATTTATCGTAAACATCCTCTGTCAAAGCGCCAGTATCTGCATGAAAATCCAGCCTTATTGATTATCATGTAACATCCCTCCTTTCCTCCTCCGAATTTCCCCTGACCGACCATCCGTCGGGGACCGCCGAACACCAGGCGGAGTGCGGCAGTGGCCGCAAGAGGCAGTAATGCCTCCTTTTTTAATCTGTCAATACGCGAACTCCGAAGCGTCGAAGAATACCACAAAAACATGTATGTTTTCGTGGTATTTCCTCGCACCGCGCCACGCGTCGCGCCAACAAGCGCTAACGCACTC